GGCGGAGTGAGGAGAGACGTCGCCCCTCTCCTTGCGTAACTCAGTTTCCCGAGTTGGCTGGACGGGGTACGCGTGCCTTGCCCTTGTCCGGGCATTGTGCGGTAGTGTGTACTACACTGTTGCACCATAGGCAGTATGCGTACTTTTGACGAAGGTCATAGATTTCCTTGGTGATCTTATAAGCCGTCCATGGCTGCTGCCCAGCTCCCGCCGCCGCTGTCCCTTGTGTCGCCTTGTTCTTGCGAACTCTCTGCGGACGCTTTGGCGGGAGCGCTGCGATCATTCCTCCATCACTCGAGGATGCTGTCGCAGCGTGGTGGTCGTCGATTTCCTCAGACAACACGGCATTGTTATGTGCCGGACGTTGATAGGCCTGTTTAGCCACTGGGATTGCCTCTCGTTAGCGGCCTTGTCGTCCGTTTGGATGACTAAGTTCGTTCTATCCAGAATGGCCTGGAACGTAGTATAGTCATACTCGTTGCCGAGTGCGGACCGCAATCCTGCGCACGATCTTGAGAAGAACTCGGATTGTTGATTAGGGAACGTCAAGTCGAAGCCTGGCGTGGTCACTATCTTCTGCCATTTTGATGTCCAGTCTCGCGTTGGCATGTTCCCTTGAGAGCATGTGTAGACCTCGTTCATGGCCATCTTCACGACGTTGCGGACCATGAATCTGGTGAACCATAGCTGCTCGAACTCCTTCCACGTAATGTGCGTGTGGAGTTCGGCGATAGTGCACTTGTGTGTAGCCGCTAGGTGGTTCATCCATCCYTGCGCTCCTCCAATCAGCTGCGGATATACTGCCTTCAACATGTTGTCCGCCGGGACCATGCGGCATGATGCTTCCGTGAGGAAGCGTTGCCACCATGACAAGGCGTCCGACTTGTTGTAATCATCGAACTTGCTGATGTCGAAGTGCGGCATCTTGAACGTCGGTGTAGCAGCTTCCGGTCTCGTCTGTAGCTTGGTGATGTCCGTCTTGATGGCGGCCACCGTGCTGCTGATCGAGTCTGGTCCGTTGAAAGTACTTATGTCGCCGATGATGGTGACGACGTGATCGATGCGCTCGTTGAGTTGCTTCGTCACGTCTGTCGTGCAGCCTGGCGCTGCTGAGGCGTTAGCCTCTATGCTGTTGACGCGTGTGATAGTGGAATTCAACAGATGATGCTGTTGCTGCTGCTGCGTTGCCTCTGTGCGGATAGCAGTTGTTAACGCAATGATATCGTTCTTGTATGTTTGTTGCTGCGTCGCGTCTGTGCGCAGATGTGAATGCAGCAGTGTATTATTCCACATAATACCTCTCATCATGCCCAGCAGGAAGTTAGCCAGGTTACTTCTCTCTGCCTCCGCCGGTGTCGGGTCTGCCTGCGCTTCCATAGGCACAAAGATCATGTCTTGGAGTATCGTCGTCCACTGATGCTCACAAGCAATCAAGGACTCCGTGTTGCTGGCATTCCGTCTGTCTCGTGTCTCTGCGTCAGTCTCAGTCGTTCGCTGAGCTTCGGCTGCYGCTTCATTGGCTAGCCGCTGAYGTTCTGCCTCTGCTGTCTCCTTCCGGGCCTCGACGRCAGCTACGGCTTCCGTAAATGCCAGTAGCCGCCCACGATAATCAGCCGCTGGCTCATTGGCTCCTCGGACTGGGTATGCGGGATGATCTCCGGTGGCGTCTTGTACCGTCAATGCCGTACTTGATGCTGCTGGAGTCGTCCGCCTGCTGAGTTTCTTCGGTCTTGGAGGTACTGCAGGGCGGGCACGAACTGCGATTCTGGCACTGCGTCGTGGCAGTGCCCCGGTGTCCTGTTCCGTCGACATCAGTCTGAACCGATGCGGTACTTGAGAAGTCCCGGTAATCACRGAACACGGGGGGTAGGGAGAGTGGGAACAGGGGTAGAACAATCAAGCAATACACCTACAATCCCCTGTCCCACTTGTTGGACTATARACCCCTAATCAAAACCCGAAAATARATTCCCGGAACCAATTCAGAAAATTCGTAATWAAATAATTAACGATTTAATCAATAAATTTAATTAATGAAAAAATACGAGATAATTAATCAATGAAATCATAAAACGAATTTGAATGGTAATATGACTAGGTCTCTTTCGAGATTACTATGAG